CCTAATGAAGATTATAGCCGAGCAAATTGAGTAAAAGTATAGTATGGAAAAAATCATGGACAATTGTAAAAATGTCGGTTTTGGTGTGCCATTTTTCAAAAATGCTACAATAGGTTGTCAATTTGCAAAAATATCATTGATTATTGATTTTTAAAACCTAAATTTTAAAATTTCTAAACCCTAAAAAATATTTGATCCCTAACAAACTCTAAACCCTCAAAACTAAACCCTAATATAACATAATTATTCCAAACATAAATAATATAGTGAATAAATAATTTTAAAAAATTGGTGTTTTTGAAAAGATTTTGAAAAGATGGCATGTATAAAATTTCTCAAAAATCATCAAAAACAAAAAAAATACAAATTGGAATTTCAACAAAATGGTATTACATGTTGTACAAACCAATAAATCAAACCAATAAAGCTCTCGGAGTATATAAATATTATAACCGATATTAACTACTCTCTGTCGGTTTGTCACATGATAACTGTCATTTATAATTTATTCAATTTTCAACAGAATACCAATTTTGTATTTCCAATACATATAAGGCTATATAGTTTTGTTCTTAGTAATTTAGTTTATCAAGGAGAGAAACAAAGTCATACATACTCGATATAAACCACTGGTCGTGCCTCGTTGTCCACATAGATGAACAAACCTCAATATAAAGAAAGGAGTATACATAAAAGCTGTCAAAATCATATGATGAAAATATGCAAAATCACAAACCATTCCGTCCGAAAGTTACCAATGCGACCGTTTACTCTTTTTTTGTTGTATTGCAAATTATATGCATGGTTTCGTGTTTTTATTTATTTTAACGTTGTAACTTTACATAGTTATCGATACAACATTCCGATACAACCAAAACATTAGAAATGTTTAGAAAAACCAAAATAACTAAATAAGTGAAATTGCTGCATGTGGACAAGCTTACACGCTACTAGATTATCTAATATGATATTTTTCTTATTTGTCGTCGTCTTCAGTCTAGTATGACCATCTTGATTGGTTATCAACTTTCTAATGAAACACCAAAAAGTTTTAGAAAATCATTGGATACGATTCATCTGTTTCATCGCAACCCATTTACACTTTTACAACACCAGGAGATAACATTTTTCTCGGATGTAGTCAATATCAATGATTGTCGTCATGGTTTCCTAATTTTTTTATATTATTAAGACTCAATAAAAAGAATATATGTTTAACAAAAAATGAAAGAAATGGTATTATTTTCCCATTTTTGAATGGGAATTTTTTGAATTGATATTTCTTTGCTTTTTTTGTTGCGTAATGAATACTATATACCACAGCAGAAGCCGTTTCAGTAAAACCAAATCCTTTTTCCTCTGTCCCCTAGAAACTAGAAAGTAGAGATAGATACCTTTTCATTAAAGTTTGCTTA